ATATATATATGCATATGTATATACATGTATGGTGAACGTATAGTATACTTGGGACGGCGGTTCTTGTAACACTTCCATCCACATCGGAGTAACATAGTGGAGCCTTGCTCAAAAACCGTAGCCCTAGAAGAGTTCAATCGGATTTGGCAGCGGGTCCGCGCCCCGTAATCAGGACCCAATCTCCGAAAAGCCTAGACTCTAGACCTTGTTGGCATAGGGGCCTTCTAATGGTTATTTATGGGTTGCTATGCTATATTGGATGGGGGTTGTCAGTGGTTATGGAGTCAAAACCCCTCAAACTTCTTCAACAAGGTTGGAGATGCCGCGGCCAACGCCCAAAGGCACACCACACATGGTGCAGGCACATGCCTTACCGACGAAGCTAGACCGTGTCTCAAGGAATTCGGATGCAATGGTCGTGATTAGACTTCCAGAATTGATCATGTAGTTGTTAATGGCTGCACCAGCAGTTCTTCTTAGTGACATAGACTCCAATGTTAACGCGGAATCAGAATGCCATTGTCCAAAATATCGGCTTATGCGTGTGTTATGGTGCTGTGTTGGGGGGGGGGGGGTTCGCATTCGGCTTCATCCCCTACCCTGATCATTTCAGCTTTAAATATTAGACCAATGGATCTACTTTAAACACGACCTCGGCCCTTGCCTTCCTTGCCAAACCCAATCGAGGTGACTCCGGCCCCAAGTGCCGCCGAAGGCAGCGGAGAGACGCCGCGCGGTTTCACGATGCCTTTGTCTTTATATGAGGTTTAAGGGTTTGGGTGTCGCAGGTGCTTCGGAGTTTATGGGTTATGGTTTAGTGTAGCAGGCACTTTGGGCTTTGTAGTTTGACGGGCCAGCCCGCGGCCCCAAATAAGATCCCCAGAAATCGTGCCAGCCCAAGACATGAAGGCTTGCAAAGCCTCAAGCCCTAGAGACTCTACCCATAAGGAGCCGGGCGTTCGGAGTTTCTACGGGGCACAGAATGGTAGAGTCGAGCCTCAGCTCCAGTTCTTTAACTGCAACTGTCTACTGTATAGACTTTGAGCTTTGGGCTGTGGCTTGTATGTGTACCCCAAACCACTCTTCAGCGCCCTAAGCCACGCTGCTGGGGATGTGGCCGTAGTTATTATATATACGTATACATATATTAAACCTTGAACCTCGACACTGTAACCCTCCACAGAAGCCAGAACGAGACCCTGAACGCTAAAGAAACCTGGACACGCAAAGATAAGACCCTCTGAGAGCCTGTAGAATCCTGGTTCAACCCGGCGATAAACTCTGCAGATCTCTGCACATGCCATACCATGTCGAACTCTTTTCTAAAGCTCTCAGCTTCAGCGAACTCAGAGTATTAATCCCAAGCGAGCCCTATGAAACAGTAACCCTGCTGTAAACCGCATACAGGCGGATCTTAGGGAGGGAGACTGAAAGGAAGTCAGCATGCTCTTCATTGCTAGAAGCAAATCCACATGTTTTTTTGTGTAAAGAACCCTGCATTTTGAGAGAGCACTAACGAAGACCGACATCCTTAAACGCTCAACTTAGAAGCCTTAATTAAGCCTTATCATAAATCCTCATCCCTATGCTATGTTATGTTATGATATGTTCTGATATGTCAAAGTTATGTTTTTATCTTAAACCTAAATTAAACCCTATATTATGGTATGTTGTGTCGTTATTCCTGGTAGCAGAAGGATCTAGGCCCTCTAAGGCCGATACCGCGGCTCCCGGGCGCGGCCGGAGCGGCGGCGGCGAGGCGCTGGTTCTGCACGATTGTCTCTACATATATATATATATACACACACATGAAATGAGCGTGTTTCTGTGTGTATACACATATATATATATTGTATAATTATAACTATAATTATAATTATAAGTATTTTTATCATTTACATATATATATATATATATGTATATATATATACATGATGCAGGGCTGCCACAATCAGCACGGGGGTTCTTTTAAGTTGGGCTCCCTTTTCGCGGGCCCTTGCAAAAACGGAGTCTATCTGGGGTCCTCTCTCACTCCTGCAACTTCCAGAACGATTTCCCGATTGAAGGCTCAGCGCCTGGGAGAAGGACGACGGCTCCGAAAGCGCCGCTTTCGTGCAAACAGACAAACTGGAAACTGCAGTAAGCATTTTGACTCTTTTTGACAGTAGGACAGATAAGCAGAGAATCGCGCCGGCACCGCATGCACGGTCATGATTCTGTTCTTCAATGAGAGTCTCGAAGTTTGCGGTTTCAGCGATGGCCTGCATGTAGGTCTGAAGTTGAAGGAGGCTCTCCAGCAGCCCATGCAGGATGTCGTGGTGCTGCACGCCAAGACGTTAAACTTGCAGTGCATCTCATGCCGTGATTTGCTCTCGCGCGGCCCGGAGCTTGCGGAGCACTTGGGCTACCAATCTGTAGGCATAAAGAAAGGTTCGCATGCTGCTTTGGGGCAGAGCCTGGAGGCGCGCGCTCACGGGGGAGGCGTTCCCTCGATGATGCGCGGAGGGGTGACGGCGTCCCTGCAGTCAATCGGGGCCTCCGGCATTATCAAGCCTGAGGCTAAACATGCAATCGCTGCTGCTTTGCAGAGGGCCAGATTGATTTCTGACAGAGATTATCTGGCTGCTATAACAGGACGGCCGCAGATGGTTGTCGTCTCTATACCAAGCTATTTTTCGTCGCCACAGCCAGATTCTAATGAACGACTACAGGGAGAATGGCCACAATCACAGGATGGCCGAGCAGATGCTCAAAGAGACTCACCTGAAACATGGCCTACAGTTGTGCCGGTGCCATTGTCGCGAACACGACGGATGTTGCCGAATGGAGGTGGAAAAGGTTCAGCGGATTGAGAACAAGGCCCTTTTTGAGCGGTTCAAAGCCTATGAGGCAGCAGTCGCCGAGGACCTCAGACAGCGACCGGTCAACGACCTCGAGGAGGTGCTAGTGCGAGGTATTCATCCGTGGCTTCAGCGCCTCGGATGTAGAAACGGTTTGTGCAAAGCTGCCAACACAGTGTATTTGTTGCACGGCACAAGGCAGCACAATCTGGATTCTGTGCTGAAGCATGGGCTACGTACCAAGTTCTCTTTGCACAAGACGCCAGATGGCCTTATGGAAGGGGCTTGTACTTCGCCAACAACAGCTGTAAAGCCTTTCAATATGCCGGACATGGTGGCTGCATAATCGTTTGCCGAGTGGTCCTGGGAAGCATCGAGCGAATCTCAGATCAATGTTACAGCCGTTTTTTGCAAGCCCCACATTTCACTCTGCGATGGCCGAGGGCAAGGTAACCCGTGCGCAAGAGCAGGTGCATGATGAGTACATTGTCTACAACGACGATGCTGTATATCCAGAGTTCGTGCTGAAAATGCAGTAGACATGGGGCAAGGACACCGCATTGTCGATCCAGTCATCGACGCAGCGTTCAACCATGTCTCATGTGATCACTGCCTGGCAGTATGCAGTTTATAGTTTCATGGGCACCTGCTCTGCACCTTTTTTCAGGATGCAGGGTCATCATTGTGGAAAGGGGAGCACAAAAAGGCTTCATACTTTGATGGCGGCAGTCATGGGGTCACCTGCGCTCCACTTTGGCAGGGCGAGTTGCAGTTTCCGATCTTGGAGATCTGGCACGTACTTAGAACGAAGCGCTGCAACGGCCTTTGTCGAAGACCACCCGAGTACACGGTGATCGTGTCTAGGTCGTAAAGATCTTACTAGGGCTTTGGGTTGAAGCATATAACCCTATATAGGCAAACAAAAAGCGTTGCATACTGCATGACTAGCACCATGCTGCTCTGGTATGCCAAGGTCGCAAGCGCCAATGCAGGGCTCAGCGTCGCCGGGCAACACCAGGTCAAGCGGCTTAAGGGCTGTGCGTGCCGCTTTGGCGGTTTACAAGGTTTCAGGGTAGTACTGTACCACTAGAGGGTTTGGGGTTTGTGATTTCGGGTCCAGGCTGCAGGGATCTTTTTGCAGTTAGAATAGGCATGTTGGTATGGGGGGCCGGAACAGTCTTCCAGGGTACGCGGTTTACCGGGGTTGGAGTGCTGGGTAGGATTTGTTGCTGTTACAGTCTTTGGCGACACAAGGTTTAGGTCTTTGGAGTTCCAGGGGTTCAAGGATTTGCCTACCCCCCCCCCCCCCCTTTTGTTGAAAGGCTGCATAATGAAGCTATGTATGTCTATTGGGCCGGCATTCAACTGACTTGGGAGTTTGCTTTCTTTTGCTTGCGGTTTACGGTGTAGCATGCCCAGCGTAGCCAGCACTGGTGCACGTTGTTTGTCGCTTGGGGGCTTGCGTTACGGGCTTTCGGGACGTCGTGGACCACCTACTATCCATCTCCTCATGATGTCTGCCCTGCACTGCAGACGTGGTCCAGGCCCTGCTGAAACTCACCAGTGGCCGAGAGGCGGGCGCTCTAGTGTGGTTGTTGTACATCCGGGTATGAAATGACCTCAGGAGGGATGTCTACTATCCACCTCGTGTTCAGACAATGTCAGGCTTTGTTGGGGTCATAGAAGATTGCAAGTGCATGGGTGGTTTTGCCTGGGACCGAAAGGTGTGGTTGTGCTACCGGCATTAGCTCCTTTGCAGATTCGGTGGGGCTCAATTGAGAAATCCAGCCAACGAGAATGTATTCCGAGCTTATATGGATAAGCTCAGGACTCAATGGGGCTGAAGGCCCTGGGTGTTGCATTCACCGGATACGTAGGAATTCGGAGTACTGTACTCGTTCGGAGGAGAAGGTCTCTGGGTTCAGGCCCCATGAAAAAAGGCTCAGCAGTATCTGTGTTAAATCGCCCCAAGCACCCCGCTTTTCTTGGGCCAGGTCCTTGTGGACCTGTCCTCCGTTGGCTTAGATGAGTTCCAGCAGGTCTTCACCTCAGAGGAGCGCTACTTTTTTGTGCAATTCTTAGCTGCGCAGCCTGGTTTCGACAAACTATTTGTAGGGTACCCCAGACCCTACAGCGTGCTCCTGGAAACTCCCCAAAGCTTGGACAGGACAACGCCTCTTTCGAGGCGGTCCTAGAGAAAGATCGCCAGAGGCGGAGAGAAAAGGAATGGTGGGCGTCCTTGGCAGCATTTGATAAAGAGGTTTCGACATCGTGCTTTGGGTTGTATAAGGCTTATATATGTTTAGTTCTCAGGGTTTACTTGTGGTTCTAATCACCTGACCTGCGGTTATAGTGATGGTGTTGCAACCCAATATTTGGCCATGGTGGCATTGTTTGGGGCCCCGGTAGGGTTGAGGAATTAAGGAATCTGAACTTAGGACTATAGCATTAGGGATTTAGGGAATTTGACCATGTGGTTGCGGTCACGCTTTGATGGTCTTCGAATGATTCCACAGGATTCCTAGTCAGCCTGGAAGATTGCTTTCTCTGGTGCAGATCACGTGCTGTGTGGTTATGGCTTCCATGCATCTCGGAGAATGGCTTTCGAGACGTGTCGTGGCTCGTCACCTCCAGATCGAGCTTGGCGTAGGTTTCGTGGCTTTCTGTGCCACTTCGAATCTTACATTATCGGCTTCTCATGGTCGTAGGTAGTACTAGGTAGGTGGGTGAACCAAGGACGCGAAGCTGGTAGGTGGAGGGGCAAGATGAAAGACAACACCATGACCAGGCCGCAAGGACCCTGAATCCGTGGCGTGTGAAGCGCGCCATAGAATTATGACGTCAAGCGTATGGAAATGTTCACGTCTGTTAGTTTATCAAATTAGGACTACAACACAAAGTAAATACGAAATGAATACGATTGGAAAATAGGAGACACAAACGAAAACAATAGGACAAAACATACGGAACCAAATTGGACCAAAATAGGACGAACATGAGCAGGTCAGTTTTGGCCTAAGACACCAGGCTTAGCAACGTAGTGAAAAAATAAAGCCAAGTAGGAAACACATAGAGGAGAACAAATATGCTGAGAAATAATGGGAAAAGATGCAGATATTAGTTTCATGTTTAGGGTCTTATGATTTAATGATGTGGACAGCCAGACATTTCGGATCTATGGTTTGAGCTTTTGGTGCTTGTTCGCATGTTGGAAGATTTAGACTGCCAGCGGTTTGGGATGTACGCTTTCAGAAGAGTTGGAATGCCAGCGGTTTGGGATGTAGGTGTTGAGCCCTTGGCGTTCCTCGCATGTGGGAAGATTTGCACAGCCAGCAGTTTGGGATGTAGGTTTTGAGCTTCTGGCGCGTTTTCGCATGTTGGAAGATTTGGACAGCCAACGGTTTGTGATGTAGGTTTTGAGCGTTTGGCGCTATTTTGAGCCGTATCTTCTAATGTAGCTCCGAGGCCTGGTCGCATATCTTCCGAACTAGGTCCAAGGCCCTGCCAGATTTTTGGCCACATATCTTTTAAACTAGCTCTAAGGCCTTGCAAGATGTGGATTTGAGATTTGGCGTCGGGTGCACAAGCAGTTCTTACTGCCACAAAGAGCTATAGAGCCACGAATCTGTTGAATGAGATCATTGGCTTCCGTTTGAGGAATGACCACTGGAGAGTGATCTGAGTGGGTTCATGATCTTGAAGAATAGACATGAGAAGACGAATGGATGACCAGTGGACAATGACCTCTTGTTTAATACAGAAGACTGTGGGTCCATTGCAGCAGCACGTGCGTTTGAATGTCCTTAGCATCAACACGTTTAATGAAGCATTGTTATATTTTGCTCCCATTTGGTTCCGTATTTTTGTCCTATTGTTTTCGTATGTGTTTCTTATTTTCCAGCCGTATTCATTTCGTATTTATTTCGTATTGTAGTTCTAATTTAATCAATTGATCTGAACATTTCCATATGTTTCGATGTGATAACGGTGGGAAGAAGATTGGGTTTATGATTGTTGGAACCCACAAAACCCTATATACCTTGCCACCACCCCGCAATGCAATTCTCAGGCTCTGACGCCAGAAACAAACAACTACAGGAAGGCCACTTTCATAATTTCAACCTTACTATGCACCGAAACCCGAAGCAAGGTAGAGGGTCCCGAGCTCAAGCACAACACGCACCTTGGGTAGCACTTGGTCTGCCGGTATGGACACTTGTACTCCAAAGCACTCCTGGGTTCGTGAATGTAGAGGTCTGAACAATCAGTACACACACACACATCCCCGACGTTCCATGCACACTTTCCCCGAAACCGGTTCATATTTGACGGTCCGTGTAGCATATCCTGAACTATAGTAAGATTGGATTTTGTACAGGGTTGCTAAGTACAGTGGAACATTCAAGGACAAGCTTGGGATTTCCTGCTTGGGGTCTCGATCGGACTCTGCTGGTGCCGGGGAGCATTTTGGATGTTCTAGGTCCAGGCGCTGCAAGTCGACCCTGAGCCCATAAATATGGACACGAACTTGCGGTTGTCGCACGACAGATGAGCCGTTTATAAGCGGGACCCTAAACCCGATACTCAAATATGAACCGGGCACATGACTTCTCATTTCAGGATTTATTTGTGCCAGCGTTGGCTGACCCCTCCCCATGGTA